AATGACTGACAAGCTTTGGGGTGTTGATTGACTCTATCTATGTTTTGATTATCGTTCTGAATCCAATTCATAATCTTTTTTTCATCTTTTTGTTCAAAATGTTGTTTATTTCTTTTCTTTTTTAAAAATTATTTATTAAACTTACCCACATTCAAGTGTTTAAAAAAAGAATGCATGAAGCTAGAATAAAATGTTTTTGTTTACAAGCAGATACCCTGTTCTTTCTTTTGGTGTTTTGTATGTTCAGATATTTATATAACAAAATATATACAAATTAATACCTAAATAGGGACATAGTAGTATACTTAAAGTATGATGTAAAGTTAATTTAAAGAAAACTTACGAGTATACTTGCAGTATAAAACTACTAAACTAGTACTTTACTGAGACTATACTTCAAAGTGTACTAAAAATGCTACTACAAGTATTTAATTAGTAAACTATCAGTATACCTATAAGTTCACTTTTAGTATAGCTGCAGTACAAACTAAACATTTTGATGTAAACTAGTTGTGTACTCAAAGTTTACAACTGTTATACTTAAAGTATACTTAAAAGTATACTTTTATATACTAGAAAGTGGGCCAATTTAGTCCCAAGGAGTATTGAAATAGTACACTTACAAGTATACTACTAGTACACTGATATTTGTATACTTACTACAATAAAGTATACTTAAAAATATACTTGAACTTTACTTAAGTATACTTAATAAAATAAACTTGAAGTATACTACTTTTTGGTAAGGGTTACATAGCTACTTTAAAAACGCATATAGGGGACATAGTTATATGTTTTAAATGGATGCATATGTTGAATATGATTGGATGAGATATCTGTACTGTATGACTGTAGACGTTTTCTTGCAAGAAAATAAATCTTCAGAAGACTTCTGTCTCATATTGAAATGGAAAATTGCCACGACAGAAGGTAAATGTTTTTGTCTGTTTTTTCCGGTTCTCTCCCTCAAGTATATTTATTCAAGTATTGCGAAAGTAACCTTTACATAAAGGCTTTAACTTACCTCCGTTTAATCTTCAGTTGCATATACCATGCCATAGCAGAGCATCAATCATGACAATGTGTGTTTGAACTACGCTGTTGAGCCATTCAGCTCATTTCTGAATCCTGAATCCAGTTTACGCCAAAGACCACATTAAGCTCCATCTGTTTGCTTTGTGCTTGTGCGATAATGCAGCCTATAGCAGAGTATGACGAAGAGCGTGAGAAAACATGCCAGATCCTAGTTTCAGCAAACAGTTTTCACAGGCTTGGTGGTCATGCACACATCCTATAACATGACATAAACCAGAGGTTAGGTTACTTTGGAAGATTCTGGGGATTAGATCACCTTATTTTAATAATAATAATAATAACAATAATCAAATAAAACAACTTAAAATGTTTCCGCTTTAGATTCAACTGATAAATCTTGCCTTAAAAATAAAGGTGCTTCACGATGCCATAGTAGAACCTTTTTGGTTCTTCAGATTATAAAAAGGTAAGAAAGAGATGGTTCTTTAAAGAACCTTTGACTGAATGGTTCTTTGTGGAACCAAAAATGGTTCTTCTATGGCATCGCTTGAAGAACCTTCTGAAGCACCTTTATTTTTAAGAGTACACAACAGGCTTAATTAATATAGTTTGGCAAAAAATTGTCTAAATTATTTTTATGAAAAAGAATTGGTTTTTAAAATATAAATTATTTGTATTTACATTCTGGTGTTTACAGTATCTTTTTAAAAAAATGTCCTTTAATCAGGATGCAGATCCTGGAAAGATTTTATGACTCACCCTATTGGTCACAAGCAATAATTGCTATTATGCAAAAACATTTCCGTGCGCTAAAAGTAACACGGCGTCTAAAGTTTAAGGAGTGTTCACTTTTGAGGATTAATGCACTAAGGACTCAATATTTATACATCATTAGTTCAAAAGAGTTCCCCACCCCGTGCATTGTTACAATCCTTTCTCTTGCATTGCAGAAAAGGCACACCAAAACCACACATATAATGACATTTCCAGCTATTGCTTGATTTCAAGTATTTCTATTATTTTTCTGGCAGGTTTTCAGCATTTTGACTCACAGATGGCACGTCTAGTGAAGTTCAAGATGAAATAAATGTGACCCTGGAGCACAAAACCAGTCTTAAGTATCAATTTTCGTTATGCTGTCATACAAAATAAACATGTGGCCCCACCTTTAGTTCAATCTTACGTCCCTTCTGAGGGACAAGTGCTATAAAACTCTGAGTATAGGACTGTGTTTTTCTCATTGAACCTGTGGAGAGCTCGACGCTCCTCACACATCATGGAGAGGATACAGATCATGTCTATAGGAGCGCTGGTATGGGTGACACTGTCTATTGGACTTGCTGCGACACAAACCAGTAAGATTTATTTAAAACAAGTGTTTTCAAATACTGAATTTAAGCATTTTATTTCCTTTACGCTGCATTGAATTTTTTTAACACTTTACAATAAGGTTCCATTTGTTAACATTAGTTAACTGCACTAGTTAACACTGAATTAACAATGAAAAATACTTCTAACACATTTATTAATATCAGTTAATGTTAATTTAAACATTTACTAATACTGTATTAAAATCAATATTATTTAATGGACCTGAATAACATTAACAAATATGAACAATTAACAGTCGAATTTTTCCATATGTAAATAAATAAAGATTGATAAATACTGTAACAAATGAGAATGTGTGAATGTTAGTCAGTGCATTACCTGATGTTAACTAATGGGACCTTATTATTAATTTATCCATCATATATTTGGCCGAGATACAACTATTTGAAAATCTGGAATCTGAGGGTGCAAAAACAATCAAAATATTGAGAAAATCATCTTTAAAGTTGTCCAAATGAAGTTCTTAGCAATGCATATTACTAATCAAAAATGAAGTTTTGATATATTTACGGTAGGAAATTTACAAAATATCTTCATGGAACATGATCTTTACTTAATATCCTAATGATTTTTGGCATAAAAGAAAAATCGATAATTTTGACCCATACAATGTATTGTTGGCTATTGCTACAAATATACCCCAGCGACTTAAGACTGCTTTTATGCTCCAGGGTCACACACATATATATATATTTTTCTGCTAGAATAATGTTTCTATAAATAGTGGAATGTAGTGATACAATAATTCTATAATTACATGCAACTACATGTAATGATAGGATGCCAATGATATTTTCCAAGAATTAATTTTTAATGTATATAATCATAATTAATGGCAGACATTAAAATTGGAAGGTAACTATCAAAAATCTTTGAGATCCAATATATTTCATTTATATTATGTTTAGTGGAACTGAAAAACAATAATTTCCTATATTAATACTGAATATTTCTCGAAATCCTCCAGTTTTCACAACAACGAACATGATTCCAACTGCCACAATAGAAATGGTTTCAGGTAAAAATCTAAGAATCCTTCAAAAATTCAAATGTTTCTTCATTAGCAACTTCAAAATAAACTAAATGTTTTATGACCAGGAGTGAGTTCACAACACAACGAGCAGGTTTGCAGTGTGTGGGGAAACTATCATTACAAGACCTTCGACGGGAACTACTTCCAGCTTCCAGCTTCCTGCAACTACATCCTGACGTCACACTGTTCGGCCAGCTATGAAGACTTTAACATCCAGCTGAGACATCAGGTGGTGAACAATGAAGCCACAATCAGCAAAATCACCATGAAGCTGCAGGGGACAGTCATAGAGCTGACCAAAGGCTCTCTCAGTGTTAACGGGCAAATGTAAGTGATTCTGATTGTTAAATTAAATATATCTCCAGGCTATACTCATATGACTTAAACTGTGTTGACTTTTGATGTCATTGCTGTCAGCTTTCACTTTGTTTTTTTGATGGTGGCGGTTTGGGAGTTATTAATGCAAACATAATATCTTTGACTGATCTGTATTGTAATAAGGTGACTTGATTTGATTTAATTTTACCATCCTCTCTGTAGAGTCACACTTCCATTTAGCAGCTCTGGCGTTTTCATCGAGAAGATGACGTCTTATATTTCAGTCAAGGCTGTTTTGGGGCTAGTAGCAATGTGGAATGAAGATGATTCGTTCATGGTAAGGATCTTCATGCAACAAACATTTATCACCAATACTGCCTCCAATGAATGCAAACAAGGAGGTAACCATGTAATGTAATATATATATATTTGATTGGTTTTCAGGTCAAGTTAGATGACAAATACAAAAACCAAACGTGTGGACTTTGTGGAGACTTCAACGGAATCGAGGTTTACAATGAATTCATCAGTGACGGTACTTTTTATAGTTTATTTGACTATTGAGAAATATGTCTGTAACCTTCAATGTTTTACATTATTATACACAGACAATAAAGAATCATTTATCTCCTGTTGTAGGAAATACGCAGTCCGTGTCTGATTATGGGAACCTCTGGAAGATGGACGGCCCAACAGAAGTCTGTAAGGAAGACACATTACCTCTTGAAGAAAACTGTGGAGACGAGGTAAGACATGCAATTGTCATTTTTCTCTGTCTACACAGAAATAACAAGCAGTTAAGTCCCTTTAAAATGTGTACAAACTAGGATAGTAATAATCATGTATTTGAGCTAAAAATCCTATGTTTTCGGGTAAAACGTCAATTATGGGTGACAAAAGAAATCGGGTGTGGGTTGTAAGTTCAAGTTTAGCACATTAATTGTGGTAGTGTTAAAAAATTATGAACATAAGCACAAACGTAGTCATTTAGCGGAGACTTGTATGTGTAAAATGGTGTTGGTTCATGTTTCTTGTCCATTGTCCCTTTTGTCGCAAACTATCCATTTTACCAATCATTTTTTAAATTAAATACAATTAATACTTCTGGAAAAAAAAGCAAGTATTTTAGAATAATGTGGCAACATATCATAATGTGAAAACATGAAGGGGTCTAAATAGTTTCTGCATGTACTTAATAAATAATAATAATAATAAACCAATAAATAAATAAGAAGACTGTATAATATGGATACGCATTTGCTGATGCATTTATTTAAAGTGACATTAGAAATGAGAAACAAATGGATTACCAAAAATTGTTTTCATGTTATTTTGCATTTTCTTGGGCCCCAAACAACTTGTATTAGTATTATGAATCACATATGTGACCCTGGAGCACAAAAGCAGTCTTAAGTCGCTGGGGTATATTTGTTATTCATTCAGCTTTCAGATGATGTAGAAATCTCAATTTCGAAAAATTGACCCTTATGACTGGTTTTGTGGTCCAGGGTCACATATTATATGTAGGAAATCCAGGGTTCAAGTCACAGGTAGATATACTTTGTTTAGTAAATCAATTTACATAAAAAAAAACCATGGATTTACATAAGAAACAGTGAGCCTTTGGAATGATCATTGTTAGTGGTTTTATCATTTGTAGCTGTAGCAATAATTATTTTACTGGGTTGCTGATAATTATTTAATGTGACTTCTCACTCCCCACAGAATTTCTGCCGTGATATCTTCTCCAGTTCAGTGTTCAGTGATTGCAGAGGTCGGGTTTCCATTGATTCATTTGTCCAAGTTTGCATGAAAGACCTGTGCCATTGCAACGGCACCTCTGGATCTTTCTGTCTATGCAAATCCATCGGCGAATATTCAAGGCAGTGTGTGCATGCAGGTGGAAAGCCTGAAGAATGGAGATCAGAATATTTTTGCCGTAAGTATGCCATCTTCTGTTAGTGGCTCATTTCTTTAGTCCTTTGTGAATGTTTGTCTTACTTATAGTATGTCCCCATCTTTTGTATGTTGCAGCACATCCGTGCCCAGAAAGCATGATCCACCAAGAGTGTGGAAATCCCTGCACTGACACCTGCACAAACCCTGAAATAGGACAAGTGTGTGAGCACCACTGCATTGATGGATGCTTCTGCCCTCCTGGTACAGTGTTTTTACTACGTTTTTCTTTTTTTATTGATGCTATTTTCTAAAGTAGCTGATTTGGCTTTGCACATTTCTTTTATCTTTAATCTGATACTTTAAACTGATTTCACTTAACCCCTCTAGTGGTATTCAGTCATTTTAGATTGAAAATTTATTAGGCTACGACATAATTAGAAATGTCTTCATATATATCCAAAACCTGATAAAAGTAAGTAATTATGTCTGAAAATACTCAGCATTTAGTGGTTACGTTGCATTACATATAATGTTCTTATTTTTTCCACCAGATGTCCTCAATCTGCCTTAAATACATTGGATATTAATTCCTTTGTTCTATTTTTAACTTAATCATTGTATTAATAAAAAAAATGTATATGGAATATTTAAGGGCGAAGCACTGTAGGTGCTGTAGCCCCTATATGCATGTTTTTTTTCCTCTAAAAATTTGTATTTTATATAGACATAAATGCTGCACAATTTAAGAGTTTTGTCTAGTGCCATAAATCTCAAAATACTAAATATTAAAGACTAAATATCGTGGAAACAAAATATAGTGCATTCATTTCGGCCTGTTTTGACCATTAAGGATCACAATTCTGAGAAATACCAGAGGATTAAACAACAATGATTGGTAGATTTATTACTGGTGTTCTCAACACATCCATTCTGTCCTGTGCAAAAACCCATTTTGCACTTTCTCTCTCCTCCAGGCACTGTTTTTGATGATATACACAATACTGGCTGTATCCCACACAGTGAATGCTCCTGCGTCCTTGGAGGTAAAATATTCGCCTCTGGGGAGAATTACACAAGCAGCTGCAGAGACTGGTAAGCCTTGTTTGACATTCAGATTGAATTTGCTCTTATAGTCAGGATAAAAATGAATAATATATTAGATTAGACTTAAGATTTGATGTTTTAATATTAAATCATGTACTATATTGGGTGTTTTGAAAAGTATATGTTTACACTGACATTATTTTTTTCCATTTAGCACCTGTGAACAGGGACAGTGGAACTGTATCCAGAAGGACTGCCCACATTCATGCTCAGTAGAGGGTGGATCCCATATTACCTCTTATGATGGAAAAGCCTACACCTTTCATGGAGACTGCACTTATGTCCTGTCCAAAGTATGTACTTCCTTGTGCTTGAAGGCCGTTCATGAGACAGCTTTACAAGACACTACATATAAGCTGTTGCTGCACTAATTAGAAGTAGCTAGTAAAGAAGTGATTGATTTTTAAGTATTGTGCAAAACAATGTCATGACTACTATCAAATAAAACAAACTGACAAATTAACCTTGTCCATTTTTCTTTCTTTTTCAAAAGCAATGCACAGGCACGGAATTCACAGTTCAAGGAGACCTGGTGAAATGTGGTGTGACTGAAACTGAAACCTGCTTGAAGTCAGTAACGCTGGCATTGTTAGACGGAACTAATGTAAGTACTAAAATGGACTGAAAGAGAAAACTTAACATATCACTTAGCATATCAAATCTTAAACATTTCCAAACAGAAAACATTCCCTGACTTACTTTTTTTGCTGTATTTGCTTGTGCACACAGGTGATCAAAGTGGATTCCGGTGGAAATATTGAGGTCAACAGAATAATTGCCCAGATGCCACTTTTTACAGGTGGGCAAATCAAATATGAGGATAGATAGATAGATAGATAGATAGATAGATAGATAGATAGATAGATACTAGTGGAACTGTATCCAGAAGGACTGCCCACATTCATGCTCAGTAGAGGGTGGATCCCATATTACCTCTTATGATGGAAAAGCCTACACCTTTCATGGAGACTGCACTTATGTCCTGTCCAAAGTATGTACTTCCTTGTGCTTGAAGGCCGTTCATGAGACAGCTTTACAAGACACTACATATAAGCTGTTGCTGCACTAATTAGAAGTAGCTAGTAAAGAAGTGATTGATTTTTAAGTATTGTGCAAAACAATGTCATGACTACTATCAAATAAAACAAACTGACAAATTAACCTTGTCCATTTTTCTTTCTTTTTCAAAAGCAATGCACAGGCACGGAATTCACAGTTCAAGGAGACCTGGTGAAATGTGGTGTGACTGAAACTGAAACCTGCTTGAAGTCAGTAACGCTGGCATTGTTAGACGGAACTAATGTAAGTACTAAAATGGACTGGAAGAGAAAACTTAACATACCACTTAGCATATCAAATCTTAAACATTTCCAAACAGAAAACATTCCCTGACTTTTTTTGCTGTATTTGCTTGTGCACACAGGTGATCAAAGTGGATTCCGGTGGAAATATTGAGGTCAACAGAATAATTGCCCAGATGCCACTTTTTACAGGTGGGCAAATCAAATATGAGGATAGATAGATAGATAGATAGATAGATAGATAGATAGATAGATAGATACT